TTTTTACATGTAATTAGTAGCAATGCTTTCAATAACACTTTTGTTCATTATAAATTTTTCATTCTTATGTTCCTTAATTACTCATGCTTTACATTGTGATCAGTTCGATTTAATTTTATTATAAAATCATTTTTTGTATATAGTTTTGTAATATCGATTTTGCTAGTTAGTATACTATACACTGATTATTGTTGTAGTATTGTAGTACTAGACAATTTAGAAAGCAAAAAAAATTTCAATTTTTTGTCATAATTTTGTTGACTTGAGATGTAGGTTAGCAAAGAAACCTGAGAATTTGGTTGGTACTAAATCTAAGTATAAGAGAAATTAAAAGGCACACCAAATAAATCTCATTGATATAACAAAGGACAAATAACAAAGCACACGACATAATGAATACATTTACACATGTACGACAACAAGAGCATGGCAATGTCTCTTTAAGCCACGATAAGAAAACCAAACATTTTTAGGAAATCAAATAAATGCGAAGCTCGCATATCTCACACATCTTTCATTCGTCTTATTGAATTATCAGCGACGACAATGACAATGTAAGTCGGCTCCCTCTTGTTCACATTTTCCGCAGATTTGCTTCCCGAAAGTTTCTTTGCAGCACTGGTCACATTTCGCGGCTTCACATGGTTCCACGGGGCATTCCCCGCGGAAATGCTTACATGGTTTTTCTTCGATCTTCGGTATTTCTATAACAAAAGTATAGATATTACTGACTTGTAACTTGTAAGCATAAGAAATATTCAAATATATAATGAACGTGTGTGAACTACAAAATATTAGCTAGGGAACCCAAGGGAGGATTTACCGATTACGACCAATAAGAGGACGAACAAGACAACAGTGAAGCAAACGGAGTTTCGGATCTTTGCCATTTTCTTGATTTACTTAAATTATTTTTCTTTCCCTTTTTCTTTTGGCATTTTTGGACACACATTATAAGGAAAACAAGATGATGTATTTATACGTAAATTTGAATTCGTTTCTGTATACTCAAAATGTATTGTACATGTATTATACAATTTGAATAAGGTGAACTCCTCGCCACGTTTGATATGACGACATCGACCAACAGATATGTCAAAAGATTGACTTTTCAAAATTCCTCTACCAGTTTTATTGGATTTTTTTCTAGGTCAACTACGGTTAACAAAAGTAAAACAATATTTTTCTTCAATATTCGTTAATGTATCTATGGATATGCACAAACAGAATTTGAAAATTCATTATATATTCAAACATATAATTTTTATTTCTTCCCCAATCCTTTGAACTCTATGAGCTCATAGATAGAGTAGAATATCGACATAACTGATGAGTTATATATTGTTCTTCTAATCAATATACTTGATTTATTCATGTTTTATGTAACACAACACCTATTTTATATTTCAAAATAAAAACATCACGATGATTTGTTTATTCATGGTTTTATGTAACTACTAGATTAGGACCCGCGTATCAACACGGGTAAG